AAACACGGCAAAGGCTGGCCATAGAATGTCTCACCTCGCCAACTGTCACCGATTACAAACTCAAATCCCACTATACACTGCGCACCTCAAACCCGTACCTAGCCCTCTGGTCCGTGCCGGCAAAATAGTAATTTATGCTAATTTAAGATCATCACAAATTACATTTTTCGTGACACGATAGGTTACCATAGCAACAGTATGACCTGCTAAAATCACCCTTTCTTTAATTATAGCTTTAGGGGCTTATAATTCAAAAATGGTTCGGTGAAGTTTTTAATATTATCAAATTTGGATAAGCAGGATGAGATGCAACTTTTGGCAGAGTTTCGAAAAAATCCGTCCATGGGGTTCAGGGCCACCTCAAAGTTTGAAAACTTTAAGGGTTGATTTTGGAAACTTAAAGATGGCTTTGAATCCCATGTACAGAGTTTTCAAATTAAAACTTTGTCACAAGTTGCATCTCATCCTGCTTATCAAAGTTTGATAATATAAAAAAGATTCACTGAACCTTTTTTGAATTATAAGCCCCTAAAACTATAATTTAAGGTGATTTTAGCAGGTCATACTGTTGCTATGGTAACCTATCGTATCACAAAAAATGATAACAACGTACTCACCAATGATTGGGCAGGCTTTTGATACCATGTTTCTAGCATCAGCTGATTAAGAGTGGTTATAATGACCCGTCAAAATCTGAGTCTTGGAAAGTGCTGGAAACCGTTTTGAGCCACCTCTTAGTGTGGTGGGTCCACGTTTTGCCTGTTAACACATTTCGCAAACTGAATTTCTCTAAAAACGTTGTATAAATTAGATTATTGAAAACCTGATCATCGGACAATGCAATTCGAGAGTTTTCATCGGCTTAGCCATCATGAGTTATGAGCCATTATACCATGCTTCACAAATAATTATGGTAAGCGTACACGTAAATTTTTGGGGCGATTTTGTTTTTATTTTAGTTTATTTTTCTACACTTTGGAGGCGTTTTCAATAAAACACATTTAATTATTCCACTCGTCTTTGTTTGATATGGAATGATTATAGCCAACCCATATCCAACGTGCGCTCGTGGAATAATTCATACCATTCACTTTTGCAAAAGCCTCTGTCTTAGTGTTGAATACAAGGATACAAACCCTGCTAGAGTAATCTACTGACTGCTTGTGTTAGGAAATCGTTGATGTTTACAAACTTAAATTAAGTGACGATTCTGAATGTGAATGTGACTTTTTTTTTCAGGCTGCACAATTGGAAGTATAGTAACAATGCCAATTTCAGGTTTGTTGACAAGATATGACTTTGATGGAGGCTGGCCAGCGGTGTTCTACTCATTTGGTAAGAGTTGTAGCCTACAAAATTATTTGTTAAGATTTCGTCAACTTACTTTCGCGGTACATTCTTCCCAAATTAGTTATCTTTAGCGCAGGACTGCTGACCGTTTGTGAGAGACATTCAACTTTAAGGTCTTCTTTTATCCTGTAGATTTTGTGATCGTGTGTCAGTTTAGTTCAAAAGCTCTATCGTTCAAAGTGTAAAAAAATTGGTCTTTTTATTAAAAATCTGTTCCCAAGAATATTGCAGGGAGAGGTCGATGCTTCTTCGATTGACGCTACTACGCTCACCTTTTAATTGTTCTAAACAGGAGTGTTTGGTATTCTGTGGTACGTGGCGTGGTACGTATTGGCGTTTGAGTCGCCATCTGCTCATCCAACTATAACAGAATATGAACGATCTTATATCGAGCTGAGTGCTGTTAATATGGATGAGGTAAGTTTAGAAAGGTACCCGAAAAAACATTTTTGTCTTCATGAAATATTTGTAGGGACTTCAAGGTCTGACAAATTGTGAAGGAGTAATATATGTAAAGCAATCCAGAAATTGTCTTTACCTCTTAATCTAAACTAATAACGTAGATATATAACTTCCACTCAGAATCTCTTTCAAATAAAATTTACAGTTACGACTTAGAAATATCCAGCCCTTCCTGACATATTTGTAATCTCCTTGCTCAGATGGTTTAGTTTGGCTGCATAATCCCATTTCACGGACCAGACATTTTAAGCGATTTCACTTTCATGCAATCATGCACACAGCTAGGTATAACTTAATTTATAACAATACCATCACACTGAATTTCTGCACATTTCAAAAATATTTTCCCCACAGGTAACGAAGGGCACAGTCCCATGGAGGTCCATCATCACCTCAGGACCTGTTTGGGGCATCATTGTGGCTGCGTTTGCCTCCGACTGGGGCCTATACGTGCTACTTATTTGTGTTCCATTATTTTTAATGGATATCCTACACTACGAAGTTGCAGCGGTGCGTAAATTCCAATGCTTTGTTGCCAAAGTTTTCCTTGCTATCTGCTCAATATACAAACGTTTGTTGATGTAATGGACCATTTGTAATCCTCTTTAGTTTGTAATTTAGTTTATTTTTTCATCTAAATTCATCAAAATTAAACGTCAGATAATATCATAAGGTTTTAATATTAAACGCATTTTTTCCGTCTGGTTAGGTTCTTAGCATAAGACCTATGTTAGTGATCAAATAGTCAGTACGGTGGAACTTCGTTAATGGGCCACAACTGAATCTGGTCGCATTAAGGGTTGGGCGTATTAAAGGGGTTCTTTAAATACGAAAATGACTGACTGAGCTTTTGTTCAGGCCAGAATAAGGGGCCGTAAAAACGAGGGGGCCGTTTTAACGAGGTGGTTGTAAGACGTGGCTCCACTTATATAGATAACGTTTAGAAAGTTGAAAATGTAACATCTAGAATAAAGCTTTTTTTTTACGTTTCTTACCAGATGGGATTTGCAGCGGCTGCTCCGTTTGTGTTCAAGTCTCTGTCCTGTCCCATTGCGGGTGTCACCGCTGACCTTCTTAGACGAAATTTTCTTTCCACTAAAACAGTGAGACGCGTGTACTACACAGCAGGTAAAACAGGTTTATAAATGTAACTAATTCCTCTAAAATGAGTTATCGTCGAAGCACGACGACTGAGACGTTCTCAAGTAAATGCCCGGTATGAATGTTAAAATGCAGGAAACGTTGTTAACACAATGCTAGAGGCTTGTTAAACTCGGCCTTAAATCCGTTTAGTTAAAATTATCTAACCAATGGTGCTCTGTTCGCGCTCTTCTGCGCGCAGGAGCTCCGCTATTACGAGCGTCTTTATATTTTTCCTGTTCATTAGTCATCTCGAGAACACTTCCTACCTGCGGTATGGTGGCACGGTTAGGGACTGGTTAAGGGTTTTCCTCTCTTAAACAACACAGAATACAATTCTTAGTGACATGATGTGGTCGAGAGTTACGTCACACTTGGGATCACCGAGGACAAATCTAGGACTCCTTGCTCACAACACCAGCGCCTTAGACCACTCGGAAACGCTGCCCACTGGACACTTCACATCATTCATAATTCATAATGTCCATAGATTATCACCCGAATGATAGAAATGCAAGAGAAATAACTTTACACTCAGACTGTGTCATCGTGCTCCATTCTGCAAAAACGAAACTTTCATATTTCCATATCATTAAACATTACAACTTGCTTTATTAAAGTGAGCTTTTTTAAACTTCTGTGATGCCTACACATTTTTCTTTTCATTTTTCTTGTAGGTGCACTCACTGCCGGCCTGTTTATTTTAATGGCAGGGTATTTTAAAAAACCTGATGCCGTTATTGGTTGTATGTGCGTGGCGGGGGCAGCCGCTGGCACGTTATATGCAGGCTTCCAAGTTAACATGTTAGATATCGCCCCGCGAAACGCTCCTATTGTCATGGGAATTGTCAACGCTGCCAGTAATACAGCAGGTTTCCTTAGCCCTATGTTAGTTGGGTTTATAACCCATCGTAAGGTAACATTTTCAATCTTTCTTCTTGCAGAATCTTTCCTTGAAATCTCTAAGTATCTCTCACTCTTTAATTAGTACTCGTTCTTCAGTTAGTATTAGTATACGGTCCTCTTTTCCTCTTTCGTTCTCGATCATTGTTGTTTACTAACCCAAAATTAAAAGGTCGTTAAAATCTTTAAAGATGCCTAAGACCTAATCCGAGTTAAATTCTGATTCCAAAGGAACATTTACGAACAGTAATGATAACAGGAACTTTAATATATAATAGGTTTACAAGCCTTAGTAGCAAGCTTTTCTGGGCGAGCTACTATTACTGTAACAGTATTATCTAGTTTAGTTAAAAGGGAGAATAAGAGAAAAGAGAGGAAATTAAGGAATTTGAGTAGATAGACAAAATTAAACCAAACTATTTCACATAAAACATAATGTAGAAATCAAGGAGCGAAACATGGTTGACTTAAGACAGTAGCGTGAGGGTTAAGTCTTCTCACTAATGATGCTTTGTTGAAGTAAAACGCCACAAAGTGTCTTATATGGCGGAACACGGAAAGTTCAGCAGACTCTAGAAATTCTCAAATATGTGTGTGTACAAATAATTCTCTGTTCTATAATTGTAAAATTCAGTTAGGTGGAAAATGTCGTGCAATAAGATAACGAACATTCCTTTTTATTTGAAAATGTGATCTGCTTTGCTGCAATGGACCACTGTTTGGTCCGTAAAATTAACGACAAAAAAATTTCCATGTCACGTAAGTTACTTAACTAAATGAATTGGCATGTTTTGAAACAGTTGGGAAACTAGTGCAGCACAAAAATGCGATAACTATCCAAGTTCTTCATATTACATCCGTGCTGCCGAAACTTAGGAAATAATATCAAACACAAACGACCGTGTTTGACCACATTTCAAACACCGAGAAGAGAGTTGAAAATTCGACGCGCAGCGGATTCGAAGTGTTTGGAAATTTGGCTAAACACTGTCTTGTGTGTTTGATATATCTTCTCAATTGAAACTAAAAATAAGAAGAAAACGGAGAAATGAAGTCGTAAAAATGTATGCTATTTAAGATCATATATCCCAACACTATCACAACAATGATTTCCTTTGTTTAAAGTTAATGAGTTATTAATGAGTTTGAGAACATCGGAAGCAAACACTTTTTGAAACAAAGGGAAGTTGAAACATCTCTGAGTATAAACGAAACATTGCTTTTGCTTTCATTTCTTTTTTTTTTTTTGCAGACTGCAGGAGAATGGCGTACAGTTTTTTGGATTACCTTCTTATTCTATCTTATTGGTTCTATTGTGTTTAACACGCTGATGAAAGCAGACAGACAGAAGTGGGACAAAGTGGAGGGCGTGTCTAGGGAACCTACAGAGGGGTCCATAACGCCTAGATAGCATTTGTTTGTTAATGTAATT